CCTTCCGGCCCTTCTTGTAGATGGGCGTCACGTTGGCAAGCAATAATATAGTCCAGAGCTGAGCATAAATTTAAGTTGGTAGTTTTGAGGTTTGGAGTTTGGGGAAAAAGAAGTGACTTTTTTTTTTACGCAATCTTCTGATATATACTTAAAGAACGTAGATTTATAATCTAATCTGAAAAGTCACATTTCCAGTTCACCACCTTATTCACGTTTACTGTAGTTTCATCTTCCAAAGAGAGGTCAACAGAATTCTTCCCTCCAAGTTCGTTTTTGCCAAATGTATTATGCTATTTTTGAGACTGGCATTAATTGGCCTTCTTGGGAAGACAGACTGTATTTCTTAAATACTCTGTGCTCTTTTTGCTCCTGTTGTCCGAAAAGTGGATTCGTTGCCTGGTGTGCAATAAGCTAATTTCCACACACGCACAGGTGAGATATTGCTTTATTTCATTTCTGCGCAGTGATGGGTGCTAGGAGGTAATCCCACAAAGCTAGCACACCGTTGTCTGCTCTTAATCATATTTATACAATAGATTCTGCATGCCCTTCCCCTCTCATACATATATGCATTTTAATTTACATACATTATGTAATCACATAGTTGCGTAATACTTAGTCTAACTGCATATGCTCCATAGGGGTCTCTGGTGGTCTTCGGTGGTCACTTCAGCTTGTATACCCCATAGGCTTGTTGCCAAAGTTCAAGTTGTGGTCATCCAAACTTTTTCCATTGTCCTTCTTCAGCCATCCGTACTGTGCCCAATTCTATTGTCCTTCTTCATTCATCCATTGTTTGCCCAAGTTCTTGTGCTGTTCCATTATGCTACATTCAGTTCCTTTGATCAGTACATCTACAATAAATCATCTGCCATGTTCTGGCACAGTCAGGACTATACAGGCACCAAAAGCAGCTTAATGTTTTACTGATATCACCCCCATCCCCTGCTGTGTCCCCTCCTCACAAGAAAACTGCTGGCAGTCATGGTGATCCTTCCTTCTATCTGTGTGCTCTCAGTTATCATTTTCTTAGGCTAGACTGGAGGGTAAGTAATTAAAAGCCATCAGTGGCTTTGGAAAAAAAAAAACCCAAACAAGACAAAATTGGAGTAAAAACTATTTTCTTCCAGGGGATGGAATTTAAGTAATGCTGCATAAATAAGGAGCAGAAGGGTATGAGAATATATATGGAGACTTCTACATGGGAATTAAATGCATGTTGAGCTTTTAGTATGTTGCTGTATGGCCCATTTGAGGAAATTACCGTAAATCACCTAGCTGTTTTGTAGCTACACTTAATTTAGATGATGTTACTCTGCATCAGTCTGATATTTGCTTCTGTCACTTTGTGAATACTGCTTTATTTTTCACAGCTGCCTGGGACACCAAGTAGCATCATAGGGCAGTGTAAAAGAGTAATGGAATGTATAGGAATCAGAAATCCTGGCTTTACATGATGGTGTTACAGAGTCTCTGTACTAGTTTTTGCTAGTGTAAGCCCTATCATACGTGGTCCTTGATTACAGTGTATACCTACTGCAGCCTCCATTGTGGATGTTGGGAAATTACGCTTAAATTACTTGGTTTGTAGTGAGCTGTAGTACCAAAGACAAGGTAAATTAACCTGTACGGACAGTGTTACATCATGAAGATGTAATAGTGCAGGGCAATACTGTAATCCTAATGCAAGCATACCAAAGAGCCTCCCTGTGGAATGTCTCTTGTGGTAGCAGTCAAGCAATTTAATACTGAAAGTAGCTGATGTTGGCGAAAAGAATGACAAGTGGCAATACACTTAGTGTCTTCCCCCCCCACCCCATGGTAGGGTTTCTGCTTAAAAACAATGTCTCTAAATTATTTTTTGACCAAACTACTTGATTTTCAAAAATGTCAACATCTTTTTCTGGTAGATATTCCTCTACTGCCTTCTATCACATCTCTGAGTCTTGGTGAAAATGAAGAAAAAAGTGGACCTTTTGTTGTGCACTGGCTAAACAATAAAGAACTCCATTTTACCTTATCCATGGAAGTATTTTTGCAGCAACTTAAAAAGAGTTTTGAACATCATTCTCCTGAGACTAACACTGAGGAATCTAATCAAACAGATGGCAGATCAGAAGAAGGTAAAGGTCTTATAGACAAATGGCTTTCATTTTACAAAATAATTTGTGGTGTTCTTTCATGTGATGTAAGAGGTGGGTAAATTGACGTGGAAGAATACAGACAGATTACAGTAGCATTTCCGTGCATTTCCTTCCCTTACACTGGAAGTACCTAAGTGACTTTTAAAATATCTGTGTCTGGAAATTCTGAATTTGTTCATGGTTGTTCCCTAGATTTTGAGTTATTTATGCTGAGAACTGTATTACCTAGGTGGACCAGGAGGCCTTTGCATGAAAGTGTGTTATTTTACCATATTTAAGGAATCAGGTGCAACCTTAAAATTAAGTTTCTTCTTTTATATTAATGTACACCTAATTTAAATAGTTCTATTCTAGAATATAGTATAGTCAATTAATTTAAATATATACAGTTTGGAGATGACTGCTTTTGCTCTGCCTATGCATGCAAAAATTTATATAAAATGGGAAAAATGAAAGTATTTCAAATTAAGGTGCAATATAAACTGTTTTGGTTTGTTAGTCATTGACTGAGGTCCACTAGAGGATTTCTGGTTAAAATTTTCATTATTTTAAATTTGTGCTTATATGGGTGGTTTATAAAAGGCTTGAAAGGTGCTTCTATGCCTGAATAACATTGCTTGTTATACTTCTGCTTTTTAATATAGTATATATATGTCTGTGTGTCTTCTAGAAGTTGATGAAAATGGAGATGAACAAAAAGGAAACCAAGAAAAGAAGGAACTGGGTGATGAGAAAACTACTCCAAATTCAAACCTTGTTCCTTTATCTTCTGCTATTATTGATCATGAAATTGAAGTACTACTTTCTGAATGGAGTAAAAATGCTGACATGCTATTCAGTATACATCCTATGGATGGTTCACTGCTGGTATGGCATGTGGATTGGCTAGATGAATACCAGCCTGGCATGTTTCGCCAGGTGCAGGTACTTTATTTTTTCTGGATTACGAATTGTTATTCAGTGAGAAGTGTTATGAGAAAATAACTTTGATACTTATTCCTTCTCCCTTTCTTGACATTCCAGGTGTCATTTGTCTCACGAATTCCTGTTGCATTTCCGACGGGTGATGCCAACTCTCTTTGCAGAAGTATAGTGATGTATGCTTGTACCAAAAATGTTGACTTAGCTATTCAACAGGGCAAACAAAAGCCTCCTGGCCTTACACGATCTTCATCTATGCTTATCTCTTCTGGACACAGTAAATCAAGTAACAGTTTAAAACTAAGTATCTTCACGCCCAATGTTATGATGATTTCCAAACATGCAGATGGGTCGTTGAACCAGTGGCTAGTGAGTTTTGCTGAGGAATCTGCTTTTTCAACTGTACTCAGTATTTCACATAAATCCCGATATTGTGGTCACCGTTTTCATCTTAATGACTTGGCTTGCCACTCAGTATTACCACTGCTGCTTACAACTTCACATCACAATGCTCTAATTTCACCAGATGTTGAGAATGCAAAACAGGCAAATGATTCTTTAGAGTCTCAGGAGTCACCAGTAAGACTTCAGAGTAGAGGCAACGCAGATGTAACATCCCAGGATCCCAATGCGGTTTACAGTGAACTTATTCTTTGGAGAGTGGACCCTGTTGGGCCTTTGTCCTTTTCTGGTGGAGTTTCCGAACTTGCTCGGATCAATTCTCTCCATGTTTCGGCTTTTTCTAATGTTGCATGGCTTCCCACACTTATACCCAGCTACTGCCTTGGTGAGTTTGGTTTCCTGATTTGTGAAGTGTTCTAGAATAAAAGAAATATAACCTAATAATGCTATTAAACAGATAATGTAGGTACACTTCAATGCATTGGAAAAAATGTTAAGCAAGGGTCCTTTATTTCGCAAATTTCCAAGCTGCTGATGCTTGGAAATTGTTTATTCCTGTGTGAAGAATTGCTGTGTTCCTCTGCCTCCTTTTACATATTTGATATTTTAGGAGCTAATGCAGTAAAGGTCTTAAATGCTAGTGCATGCTTCAGAGCATTTTGAACATTTAAAAGCAGAGGTAGATGTTGCTCTGGTTTGCAAATGGGATTCCCATTTCCTTTCATATACTTTGATTTGGTTGCTGAGTGCAGCATTAAACTTCGTAATTCTTGCTTGTGAACAGAAATTAGCAAGAGAGAATTTTTCTTACGGTGTATTGTTTTCTTTCATAACTTCAAAATTGCCTCTTGCTGATAAAAGGGAGCAAGCTGGTGTTTGAATATTTGAGCACTTTGTGCATTCTTATTTTTCAGGTGCATACTGTAATTCTCCAAGTGCCTGCTTTGTGGCTAGTGATGGACAGCATTTGAGATTATATCAAGCTGTAATAGATGCTAAGAAACTTTTGTGTGAGCTCTCCAATCCAGAAATTTCTGTAAGTGAAAAGCTGTGTCACGTTTTTGGGAGGTTGGAACTTCATTCAGTAGCACTAGTTTCAGACTTGTTGGTAACTGACTAAGCTGGTTGCTGAGGTTTTCACATTGTAGCGATACTGCATGCCTTTTAATCTCAGACTGTGCTTATTGAGGCAGGTCAATGTTTGGTTGGGAAATACCTCTGAAACACTTGCGCTACAAGGAGTAATAACAGAGCAACAAACTGTGTGTGTGTATTGTCCATCCTAAGGAAAAGTTGAGATGACAATGCAGCTTGGGGAAAGGACAATAAACTGCTGAATGCAAGGCTTTCCAGATGAGAGATGCAAGTTCCTGTCACCTTTCAGCCATTGAAAACAGTGTGGCTCTTGATAAAACTGGTTATGTTACCTGTGTTCTTGGTGGGTTGCAACCAGTGTGTATTTAATGCTTTAGTTAACATTTGCTTGGTGATGTTGCACGTATCTAGCAGGCTGTGCCACAGAAATGCACAAAACTGAGCTAACAAGACCATCTCCCTGACTCTATTTAAACAGAAATATGTTGGTGAAGTTTTTAACATCATAAGTCAGCAATCTACAGCTCGCCCAGGATGTATCATTGAACTGGATGCTATCACAGAGCTTGTAAGACCTTTTTCTGTACTCATTTTATACCATAATTAACTTGTTTAAAAAGTGCTAATAGTAAGGCTGTACCTGTAGCTCTTCATCAAGTAAAGGTGAGGTATCTAAAGAGTGATTCTGACATATACTTGCTTTTGTTTTCATAGTACCTGCAAATGAAAAAAAATGAGTAATGAAGGTGCATTTTCTTAACAAATTTTTCATTGATGTGTATAACTTAACAATCAAGTTAAAAGCTCCCATGTTAGAGAGCAATCTTAAAACAGTACAATCCATGATGTTCACTTCTTGTGTGTGTTTTTACTTTCTTAGCATGGCAGGAAAACGCAGTTATTCCATGTTTTTCAAGAAGACTTCATTTTAAATAACCAGGAGAAGGAAGCACCTGAAAAGAAGAAAAAGTTATCAGACTCTGGTAAAGAATTCTTTTTCATAGAATATTGAAGACAAATTATATTATTTTTTCATTCCACAGAGGAAAAAGAACTTGTTATATAGCTTTTAGCATTTTATGGTCAAATACCTTACTTTATTTGAGATCTTTATATACCAAAGAAGAAAATCTAGTCTAATGAAACTCATGGGTGTTTCACGTCCTTTAAGAGTAGTGTGCAACCAAATTTACACAAAGTAGCTTAAAGCATGAGATACCCATCATGTAGTATATTGCTGATACCTTTCTTACATGAGGGGGAAAAGGTTTTAAATGTAGAGCCTGTAGCTTTAGGGTATGACATAGACAAAGCTTGCTTGCATCCTTTCACAGTGGATGTTCATCCTTTACATCAGCTAAGTACTGCTCCTCAGGCCTTGCGTTGCATAATAAATGACATGCCAAACAAATCCCCCATAACACAACTGTAAAATACAATAGTATGAGTAGCATGTGGATTTGTAGGTCTTAGGACAGATCTGAATTGCTCTGGAATAAATGATAATTTTTCCTTGGTGAAGAGGGTCAGTGGTTGTGTTATATAGGCATCTCAATTTTGTTTTGTTCTGTTGCGATGAAATAATGTGGAAAAAAAGGGTCAGAGTAAAGTTTGTGATACCAAGTCATCTGCAGTAGGAAAGGGAATGCTGAGTAAAAGGAAGCAAATTTGTGGAACAGTGTCAAAGTGTTGCATAATAACTTGGTACACGAAATTGATTTTTGTTAGAAGAAAAGGGAGACACCTAGGGAAATATTGCCTGAACTATATATACATAGTGATCAATTCTGAATTAGCTGTTTCTAGTTTAGAAAGAGATCTGGAGTAGTGGAGATAATCTATGAAAATGTCAACCCAACTCTCAGTAGAGGTAAAAAAATACAATTGGGATGTTGAGAATGAGAAACAAAATAGAGAACAAAAAAGAAGTGTTACTCTACAGCATAACTGTGTTGTACATTTGCATCTTGAGTATGATATACAGAAAGAAATATGGAAGCTATTTGGTCTTGGAAAAGGGCAGCTGTATGTATCTGTATGTGTTCTGAAGGTCTGTATGGATTGCTGGCATGTAAGAAATTGGGCTAAATGGACCCTTTGAAAAACTGTAAATTAGAAGCGTATCATTCGTATACATTCTAATTTTAAAGTATTTTCTAGTACTTTAAAGCTCTTTAGTTTTAAAAAAACCCAATATTTCTTCTTCAAAAAAGTATGTATTTAGTTCATGTTTTTTTTAAAAAAAAAGAACAAATTCACTTGCATTTTTCTACAGTACCATAAGCAACCCAATATCAAACCCACAGGGCAAATACAGCTTATTCTTGATCACGTTTTTTGTAGATGCACACCTCAAGAAGGGTTGGAGGAATCATGGGGGAAAGATGGTCACTAAACCAACTATTACTTCTTGGCCCTAATGGCTTCACGTTGGTGCTAAGGAAGGAGAATGGCTGGGTGCATCCTCCAGAAGTGGGCTTCTACTGATATTACAACTCATGTTTTCTTTTCTTGGGTGAAACTATAGCGAAGAATTTCTTAGGAAGAAGCATTGTACCTCTTTGTGCATGCCAGACTATCTAGTCGGTCTGGCTGGGTTGTGATGGATGAGCCTATCCATTAGACCAGGCAATGACTTTCCCAACTGTTGACGTGACATTTCTTCTCTGGCTGTAACTTATATACTTTTTATACATGAAAGGCCAAACCTCTCTCTAGCTCACTATCTTAACTGTTACAGTTGCCAGTAACAGATAGCTAAGAAACTATAAGAGACAAGCATGTAGAGACAAAGGTGTAGAGCTGAGAGTATATTCTGGGATTTAACTTTAAACACAGTAAATTCAGGGAAATATTTTGTCCTCCCTAAAAGAAAACTTTGACAGTTCTTCATGTGTGTACCTATAATTGTAGTGGTTATTGCTTGTGATAAAATACTGAGAAAACTAGTATTTGGATGTAGTCAGACCATTGCATTTCAGTATTAGTTTGCGATAGCTTAATGTGTTTATTTGCTAGCCAGCAAAATTTAGTTCTGCTTTCAGGTGAATAACCCTAAGATCTTCCTGTTCTGAATTTCATCAGGAAACCAGCAGAATGGATTCTCTGAAAAATTCTACTTAATAGTAATAGAGTATACTGAAAACCATTCATTACTACATATGTGGCATTTACATTTGAAGTCAATTCCTGTCTCAGTAGGTAAGCCCTCTTTCTTGTAGTTTTCTGTTTTAAAAAAAGTCACTATCTCATGAATATATCTGCTATTCAGCGTATTCTAAATTGTATTTCAGCTTTTTGAACACAATCTGCAATTCTTCTATCACAAGCTTTCATCACAACCCATTCTTTCTTGATTACTTCTTAATCTTCAGAATGCTGAAGCTTTTGAGTTCAGCATGAGCCCAAAGTTTGGTATTTTTTATGCATTCCAAGGGCAAATATATTCATCTGGTTTTAATACAGCCTAACGGTTCAGATGTTTTGCTTCTCAAAAATTGCAAAACAAAAACTTCTGAGTTTACACATAAGTTCTAAGTTGGACCATAGTCTGAAGCACCTAAATGTCAAAGATACAATTACAATTATGAACCATTTTGAAGTTCTGAAATCTGCTGGTTCTCTTTCAGACTACCAAAGTACCACAAAAGCTACAAAACTTTTTAGTAAGCTAAGATATGCCAGTAATTTTTTGTTAACATTTAAAGATTTTAAGAAAACATAAATCTGGCATTAACTGTATACCAGAGGAATCTGTTATAGTGCACGCTTCTGTCATTTAAACCAAATTGGTATTTTTCTTACTGTTGCTTTCAAGGGCAGAATTCCTTATTTTTAAGTAGTATTGCAATTAGTTTATAAGTTGGTGAGAAGACTAAAGATCCAGATTTTCTGATTTACTTATATGATAAGGACATTACTGATAAGGCTTTTCAGTCTATTGGCAACCTTTATGTTCCAAATCCATCAAATTAATACTTCAACTGTTGAGCTTTATTAAAAAAATGTAATCAAGCATCACATAATTGCCAAGATCCTACATTTTAAGCAAATATTAATAAAACTTTCCTGAAAAATACTGTTCCCCAATTTGTAAGGTAAGACATGGAGGTCTTCATTTAATTTTCTCTAGATGCAGGTATTTTGTGCATCATGAAGCATTAATAATTTCCATGGATAACCACATACATACCGCTTTCATCTGCAGTTTTCATGTTTCTGGTTACAGTTTGATTGTTTTAAGTCTGAAGAGTTTAAAGCTATAACTTCTCAGCAGTTCTAGAATTTCGGAAGTATTTAATCTGAGGTGTCTTAGCATTTCTCTTTAAATCTGAATGTGGAATGCATTTCATTAAAATGAAAGTAAAATTTTAAGTCATATTTTGTCTGTCTTTTTGGAACTTTTAAGGTGAGTAAAATTACTACTTAGGTTAAAAAAAAAAGAAAAATCACTGACTTTTTTAAATTAACAATGCAAACTTTTTTAGATGAAAAAATAGATTCAAATACACCTGAAGCAGCAACACAAACGGAAGAATTGTATTCTTCACCAGATCCAGAGAAGGTCCAGTCACCATTCACTCAAAAGTATCAGGCCTGTAGAGCAAACCTTCAGAGCACCAGCTGGCTTACTCTGTCTTCCAAAATGGTGTATAGTCAAGAGTTGAATTTGCCAGAAGGAGTAGAGATAATAAGTGTAAAACCATCAGCAGGTTTGTATTTTTTTTTTAAAGAATAACATAAGAAATCCTTGCCTTTCTGATTTTGTTCTTAAAATAGAAACAAAGTAATAGTAAGTTTGTTATTTATTGTTAAAATTAAAATGCCTGTAGATGGATCTAAAAGGTTTGCTAAAACTTGCTCCCCTGACTTTATGTCTTGATCCTGGAACTAATACTGAAACAGAGCTTTTATTTAAGGTATCATATATTTATTGAATTCCAGATTCTTGCAATAGAAGGAGTTATAGAAATACAAATTTGGTTTTGCAGTCATTCATGAAGCTTTTTGTAGGATCTATACTTAAATTTTAAGGCTTCCATCAGTAGTCTTTCCAAAAAGACTTTATAAAGATTTTTAGATTTCTGAATGGGAAATGTTTGTTTGGGAGAGATGATGATTTAAACCTGAATATTAACATCTATATAATTTGACTCCTCTCTAGTGCATGAAATGAAAAAAAAGGATAAAATGTTTTCATAGTATTTTTGTCATGTTGCCTCCTTTTGTGAGGCCCTGCAAACAACCCTCTGTGTGAGGAAGTACTAATATTTTTTTGTTTCAGAATAATAAAATAACTGAATAAAAACATCTTTACTTTTTCACTTTTTGATATTTCGCCCAATAAAAGTGCATTCCATTTAATTTTAGGACATCCGAGTTCTTCTTCCATATATCCTGTTTGTCGTGCACCATATCTGCTGGCTACTTCATGCTCTGATGGAAAAGTTCGATTCTGGAGATGCAGAGTTACTTCTGAATCATCAGCTTCTTCCATGGCAGAATATAGTGTACACAGTGATGTTACATATATATGGGAAGAATGGCCATTACTGATTGAGGATGGACTTCTTAGCAGTAGTGCTATTAATGTTCCAGGAAGGCCAACTGAAGTTAGCTGTGCACACACGAATAGATTAGCAGTAGCATACAAACAGGTAACATCTAAAAATAGTCATCTTTCTCAGGATTTTGTAATGCATGTTAGTATTTTTGAGTGTGAATCTACAGGGGGTTCTTCTTGGATTCTAGAGCAGACTCTTCATTTAGATGAGGTAGGCACCATGTTAGACTCTGGTGTTAGTATTGATAGTAATTTAGTGGCATATAACCGACAAGACATTTCTGTGTCTCATGGTGGGAATGTTATGCCCAGCACTAAGCACTTGGTTCACTTAGATTGGATGTCTAGGGAAGATGGTTCACATATTCTAACAGTGGGAATTGGATCAAAACTTTATATGTTTGGTCAGCTGTCTGGGAAAATGCAAGAACAAAACGCTAAGGAGATTGCTACAATCTCCCATAGTGGCAATATGAAGGCTACAGCCCTTTCTAGGTTTGTTCTGCTGCGTTGTGTTGACCTGGTTTCATCTGTAGAGGGGTCACCTCCTTTTCCAGTCTCTTTGTCTTGGGTGCGTGATGGCATTCTTGTGGTTGGAATGGATTGTGAAATGCATGTATATTCCCAGTGGCAAACTCCTTCCAAGCAGGAACTAGTTGGTACAGATTCCTACAGTGGAAGTATGCCGTGTATAACTCCCTTAGTGAAACAAAGTCAGTCAGCTGCCTCAGGTCTGCATCCACCAAAGCGAACCTTGACCAGATCTATGACCAGCCTTGCACAGAAACTTAGTGGGAAAAGATCTGCCTGTGATCTGTCTACAGAAATGGAAGATTCTGGTCTTTTTGAAGCAGCTCATACATTATCTCCAACTTTACCTCAGTATCATCCGTATCAACTATTGGAACTCATGGATCTTGGTAAAGTACGTAGAGCAAAAGCCATTCTGTCCCATCTGGTGAAGTGCATTGCTGGAGAAGTTGTTGCTGTAAATGAATCTGAACCTAATCATGATAAGAGGCTCAGATCTCTGACTATCAGTGCTAGTGGAAGTACTGCAAGAGATCCCAAAGCATTCAGCAAAACTGAGACTGCAGACTACATTGAAATAGACTCTGTTCCACCACTGCCTTTGTATGCTCTGCTTGCTGCAGATGACGATTCATCTCATTCCTGTTCAGAAAAGTCTAATAATCAAAACAGTCAAAATAAAAAAGATATTCCCAATGACAGTTATGAAGATCTCTTTCAAAATAGTGTTATAAGTACAGATGAACTTGTTACATTTGATGCAGATGAAGACAGTTCGAAACCAAAAGTCATTGATCTTTCTCAGTATAGCCCAACTTACTTTGGACCAGAGCACGCTCAAGTTCTTTCTCGTCACTTGCTTCATTCAAGCTTGCCAGGTCTGACTAGGATGGAGCAAATGTCATTGATGGCCTTGGCAGATACAATTGCTACTACCAGTACTGACATTGGAGAAAGCAGAGACAGAAATCAGGGTAAGCTGTCTTTTCCAAGTTAAATGAACTACTGTGCTTCACAACATTTTTTGGGAGTTTTTCCTATTTTGGAATATTTTTGTGGCTTATGAAAGCAGGTCATAGTTTTGTTTCATAGTATAGCCTGTATTATTTACTGTACCATCACAGTATTTACTGTTTAACTAAAGTTTCAAGACCTTAGACTTACATAAAATCAAATTTTGTGTTGCTAACTGTCAATGCTAGTGTTAGCCCATCAGTCCACATACCATAATTGTTTCTAATTCACTTTTGAAGAGACAACTTAAAGGCCAATGTTTATTGCGCTATGTGGAGAAATTGAGAAATAAGTTTGTGGAATTTTTTTTTATATGGTAACACTTCTTCTGTTTCTTGCATTAAGATCAAATAATTTATATTTGTTATATATTATTTATAAATAACTTTATATTTGAAATTTG